GGAATCGGTGAGTGAGATAAAACGGATCCACCCAAGCAGAGCGCAGTCTCCTGACCCGCCAGCGCGGGAGCTGGTGGTGTGGACGGCTGCCACGCCATCGCGGACCCAGCCTATTATGGGTACTAACTACTACTACTGTGGTGCTGATGAAAGTGGATTGGTACTCACCCCTTTGGAGGAGTAAGGCGCTTACTGTGACTTAGCAGGGGAACCAAGGCAAACAACTTCTCCCACACTTCCCCTGTGCAAACTGCATTAGGAAGAAAAAAAGAGCAACAGCCCAGCTCTGGACGCTTTCACTTCCCTGGGCAGACGTGGAGCGTGCACAGAGGGCAACCGGGAATGCAAACCGAAACTTACTAGCCTTGGTGACGAGTTAGCTGGCTCATTAGTCCTCTCAAACCCCTGTGAAGAGTATTCTGATCCCCATTTTTCTAAATTTCACAAATTGAATATCTCAGGCTCAAAGGAGTAAAATAATTTGGCCAACTGGGGACCCAGGATTTGAATGCGTGCCGCGTGGCTCCAACGTTTGTTCCATTAAGCATTTCAGTGCACTGCCTCTGCACATCGACACCTCGTGTTCCGACTTCCTCCCAGAAGAAGGATTTACACATGGAAGCTCCAATCTCAAAAAGAACAGACATGAAACCAAATATCAGCTAAAGGCAGAAAATATACAAGGTAGGATATGGAAATAACGCCAGGCAGGAATGGTTTTAAAAGACTAAAGAAAAGTCAAAAAGAAACGCACCTGTCTTGTTTACACTCAACTGCCACTTGGACAGTTTTACTGCCCTCATTTAACTGATGCTTCAGAATTTTTTTTCTGCGCCTTTACAAAGAGCAATTTCAATTGTCTTTTTCTAGTTACTCTTAATCTCTAGTAAGGCTGGGACCCCCACAAAGATTCAGGTTTGCTGCATCCAAACTTCCAACTTGTCCAAAAAGGAAATTATCCCAGTACCAGTTCTCTGAACAATAAATTACCTAGATATGACTCAGATTCCCCAAACCAAACTGAAACTAAGCTGCCCTGGAGCTGAGGTGAAAGGGTTGAGAGGGAGGTAAAATGCACATCTGACCAGTTGAGGGCTGCAGGGATATGGAAGTGTCTGCCTCTACTTCCTTCCCATTCCTAAGAGCAAGTGTACCCTGTAACTACAAGTGTACATGAGGCAGCATCATAAAAATGAATTCTTTATTTTAGAGCCTGTCTATGGCAAAGGCTTTTAATCTTGTGAAAATCGTTAAACTCTCTGACATTTCCTGTGGATCACTAAGTTAGCACAGCCAGGCTCACCGCCTTCTCCAGTCTCCTACATTTTTCATCAGCAGGCCAAGGTAAGGATACCAGTGGGTGCCTCCAGAGAATTCAAGTATTGCTCTAACAATGCAAGCCCTCTAATAATTGTTTATGTTTAACTTTTTACTTTGAAATAATCTTAGATTCACAGGAAGTTGCCAAGATAGTAGTCTCAGTGCTCTGCCACAGAGTACACTCCCACCTTGTTTCTGTTTTTGAGACAGGGTCTCGCTGAATTGCCCAGACTGTCCTTAAACTTGTGATCCTCCTGCCTCAGCCTCTTGAGTAGCTGGGATTACCAGTGTGCACCAACATGCTTGCCTTCTCAGATCTTATGTGGGCTCCGTGCCTCTAGAAATCAAATTAATTAAAGACTGATTGATAATAGTATAGAATTTTATTAAATTTCCATGTACATGAGGACCTTCAAAACAGTGAATTCTGAAGGAGTAGCCAAAGCTCAATGCTTTTATACTTTTTAGACAAAGAACAACAAACTTGGGAAGGAAGGAGAAGCCAAATCAGCCTCTAGCCTAGGATAAATCCCAGTGATGTCACTAAGAGAGGAAGTGTAAAAACAAGTTGGAGTGGGATGGGATTAGGAAAGACAGTAAAATTAACTGGGCATTACTTTCCTATGTTCATGTATGAGTACATGACCAGTGAAACTCCACATCATGTTCAACTGTGAGATCCTAATTAAAATAAGTTATGTCCTATATATGTTTCATATGTCAAAATACACTCTACTGTGATGTCTATCTAAAAAGAACAAATAAAAAATTAGAAAATTAAAAAAAAAAAAAACTATTGGAAGACGAGAGCTCCTCTCACCAGCTTACTTGCCCAAGTTTGTTGCACCCTGTCAGCACGTCTCTGATGATAAAGGCTGCTTTCCATGTTGGAATGGAAGAGACAGCCCTCCATTTTACCCGGAGGTGTAACTTTAAATTGTTTCAAAGAATGCAATTTTATAGACTATTATAATATTGAAATTTTAAAATAAAACTTTAACATTGCTCTTAAACATATTCAATGGGATCTAAATACTACAATCATTTATAACCACTAACTTTCACTTGAATAATAGACAAGCTTTCTTTAATAGTTGCAAATTTTACATCATTTCTTTTTCTTTCTGAATTAAATTTTATGGTATTTCCCCAACAGAACATAGTCCTAATATAATGTATACTTAAAGTTTAAAAGTCTTTTATTGAGGTTGATATTTTTTTCTTTTTTTCTTTTTTTTTTTTTCTGCTAAGGACTGAACCCAGGGCTTGCTCATGCTAGGCACATGCTCTACCACTGAGCTACACCTTTGGTATGTAAATAAATATAAATTTTATTTTAGAATTTCTTATGACCATAAAGCTCTTATAGTTAAAATTTTTTCTGGACTAAATTACAATTACAATTATTAGTGAAAGTCAATTAAATGAAATAATTATTTTATAAATTTTGATAAAAATTATTTTGAGAGTAAAATGTACTAGAAATATAGATCTTATTTAGGAAAAAACTAGTTTTGTTCAAATTAATTGATGTATCTACAGCTGAATCTTATAAATGGCTTAAAGGAAAAATGATTATTTCTTAGGGGCTGGGATTGTGGCTCAGAAGAGTGCTTGCCTAGCATGGGTGGGACCCTGGTTCGATCCTCAGCACCACATTAAAAAAAAATAAAGGCATTGTGTAGTGTCCATCTACACCAAAAAATAAATGTAAAGAAAAAAATGTGAGTAAAAATTATTATTTTTATAGCTCATGTGAATTTATGGAGACTGAGAAACCCTGTTCATTTAAACAAAGAAATGGGGATGAAAGAAGTTTTACTGCATCATTATTACTTATTTGAACTCCTTCAGAGTTACATACCAAAAAATGGAATTTTAATCTATTATCAAAATTACTATTATGGCTATTATTATTTTGAGTCAGGGACTCACTGTGTCACCCAGACTGGCCATGAGCTCCTGGTTTATGCGATCTTCCTGTCTCAACTATCAAGTAGCTAGGACCACAGGTTCACACTATCACACCCACACCTACCTAAAAATTATGTTTAAATTAGGTCCTTGTAATATTAATAATTAGAAACCAATCAGAAATCTTTTGCTGCAAAAAGATTTATTACTGGGGCCAGGGTTATGGCTCAGTGGTAGAGCACTTGCCTAGCATGTGTGAGCACTGGGTTCAATCCACAGCACCACATAAAAATAAACAAATAAAATAAATGTGTTGTGTCCATCTACAATTTTAAAAATTTTTAAAAAAGATTTATTACCTAGTAAGCAGTCATTTATTCCAAAAGAAATTTACTAAAACTTTGCAGATGATAGTAATTATTTTTGTTATTTTTTTCACCAAGCCACCCTGTTGAACCCATCACACGGGAAGAGTTGTGGGTCAGTTGTTAATTTCATCATAGTTTTTCATATGATATCCAATTGAAATGTTTTGTCATCTCATGTGCTTTAAATACTTTCTTTGTCAAAACCTATAGCTGTAGATTAGGCTTATTTGTGAAAAATTTCTACATTAAACCTAAATAGCAGATTCAGCCTTCATTTTTCCATCAGTTAGCCAAAATAGATTTACTTTAAGATTAAAAAAAAATTGACACTAATTTTCATGTCAAATAACGGTTGATATGCACTTGGGAGGCTACCCCTGAGAAGTGTAAATTAGCACCAAAATTAAAGTCACTGAGAGAATGACTTGGGACATAAACTTGGATTTACATTAAAAAAGTGTGGAGGAAGAATAAATTCATAAGGTAAAAGAAATTATATGTTTCTTATTCTTAATTGATGTAGGAATAACTTTGTCTATGGTAACAGTATTGGACGATTATGACATACGGATAAATGAGAAGAGTGACATTCAGAGAGGACTGGGCGGAGGGATTAGAAACACCTCTCCAGTTCCCTGCACTGTGTGTGCCCCAGCAGGGTGTAACTCAGAGGTAGACCTGGAACACTGTGAAATACAGGAAAGCCAGGGTGGAGCTCAGTGGTAGAGCACTTGTGCAGGAGGCCCTGCGTTCCATCCCTAGCACTACCAACAAAGGAGAAGGGAAACATGTATTTTACACATACTGTGACAGCCACTAGAATTTTTTCTTTCTTTTGCTGTGCTGGGAATTAAACCCAGGGGCACTCTACTACCATTAAGCTACATCCTCAGCCCTTTAAGAAACTTTTTGTTTTAAAATTTTGAGTGAGTGTCTCTCTATGTTGTCCAGATTGGCCGGAATTTACAATCCTCCTGCCTCAGTGTCCCAAGTCAATGGGATTACAGGCTTGCACCACCAGGCCTGGCTACCACTGGAACATGTAAAGAGTATAGTTGGTATTATAACAATGTAGATAAAATAGAATTATGTAAAGTTCTCAAGCAAAATGAGAGAAGGCGGGAAAACACAGAGAAATTAAACAAAGAAATGAAATTAGCTCCGATCTCTCATCCTGCACAAAACTCAACTCTAAGTGGATCAAAGACTTAGGCACAAGAACAGAGACCCTGTGTCTAATAGAAGAAAAAGTAGGCCCAAATCTTCACCATGTTGGCTTAGGACCTGACTTCCTTAACAAGATTCCTACAGCACAAGAAATAAAATCAAGAATCAATAAATGGGATGGATTCAAACTGAAAACCTTCTTCAGAGCAAAGGAAACCCTCAATAAAGTGAAGAGAGAGCCTATAGGATGGGAGAAAATCTTTACCACATGCATCTCAGATAGAGTTATCAACCTTCAGGATATATAAAGAACTCAAAAACCTTAACACCAAAAAACAAAACAAAAGCCCACAATCAATAAATGGGCTAAGGAATCAAAGAGACACCTTACAGAAGAAGAAATGTAGTCGATCAACAAATATATGAAACAATGTTCAACATCTTTCGGAATTAGAGAAATGCAAGTCAAAACTACTAGAAGATTTCATCTCACTCCAGTCAGAATAGCAATTATCAAGAATAGAAGAACAATAAGTGTTGGCGAGGATATGGGGAAAAGGCACACTCATACATTGCTGGTGGAACTGCAAATTGATGCAACTACTATGGAAAGAAGTATGGAGATTCCTCAGAGAACTTGGAATGGATCCACCATCTGACCCAGCTATCCCATTCCTCAGTTTATACCCAAAGGACTTAAAATCACCATACTACAGTGACGCAGCCACATCAATGTTTATAGCAGCTCAGTTCACAATAGCCAAACTGTGGAACCAACCTAGGTGCCCTTCAACAGATGAATGGATAAAGAAACTGTGGTGTAAATATATACACAAGGGAATGTTACCCTGCCTTAAAGAAGACTGAAATGATGGCATTTGCAGGTAAATGAATGAAGCTGGTGAATATCATGCT